ATAGCTCACTGCTAAGCAAGGGCTTAGTATGCTAAGTTCACTCCCAAGCAACCCCCAAAATATTTATTGGGTATGGCACATTTGATCCAGTTTGATCCAGGTTGAATGACTGTACATCATAGTTTCCATAAATCAACAAAGGGATGAATGACCACTGCACAAGGAACATCGGCACACAAGCTGCATTTGCAATAATCCCTGCAGTGACCAGATTTAAATAATCACTTGTCCTGACTGATTTCCCTGGAACGTTTTTCTAATTATGGATATGTAGTGAAAAGGGCAACTCCAGTATCTGCTCCTTCTCCAGTTCCTCATGGCAAGTAGGGCTTTTCTAGCCTGTGGATTCTTGGATTTAAGGAGTTAGATCTGAGAATGAGGCCTAAGGATCATTAGTTTGAAGCCTTCTTGGCAACTTTTCCTTCTCTCAAAATAAAATGTAAAAAGCAAAAAGAAACCAGATCTGACATTCTGCAAAATCCAATCAACATTAGCCCTTTGATTACTGTTAAATTTCTTGTGGGGGCTCTTGATTCTACATAATACTGAGAGTTATAGATATTTGAACTTTCTATGTACATGATAGATAGCAAATATATCTTGATACCTAGTTTTAAACTCTGTTTTAGGATGTCAGGCAATTTTAGAATCCAAAGGAACTTTTTTCATTTTTACGCAATTCTCTTGAAAAATAGGTAGCTTTTGTTAGTAGGAGTACTAGAATTGAAGTCATAAAGGCCAGGGTTCAATTCTTGGCTCTGGGGCTCAAATCATAGCCTTGTGACTATAAGTTATATACTTGATATTTTAGAAGGTTGGTTTTCTCATTTGTAAAGTCTGGTTAATCCATCTCCAGGGGTCACTACAAGGGATTACTTGGGATTACATGGCCCAAAGTACCACTGCAGTATCTACACAGACCAAATCATTTACTCTTATTTCTACCCTTCCCTACCCAAATCATGGCCTAATGCGGGGCTGGGATTTTGATGTTTTCCTTGGCATTGTCAGAATGGGTTGTAGTTTCTAGTAGAAGGAACTTGCATACATCAAAG